GGTGCGGCCCGGCACGCTCTACTTCATCAACCAGGACGTTACGCTGACGCAGCCGCAGTGCCCGCGCGGCCTGCGCGCCATGGTGAACGTCAGCGAAGGCTGCTACACGCCCAACGAGCCCAGCGGCAGGATCTGCGCCGGCCGGGGGCCCTGCGTCGCTACCGGCAACTCGGCGGAACCGTTCGCATGCGAGTGTCCGGCCGGCTACTTTGGACCGAGGTGTGTGGAAATTAACGAGTGTTTCAACCAGCCATGTGTCAACGGCGGGACGTGTGTTGATCGCAGCTGCGACTATGAGTGTGTGTGCCAACAAGGTATGTGATTGTGTCAAGGTACAATAGTGCAGAAAAGCTGCATGCAGAGTTGCCCCTGGTTCGATGAACCGAGGTGCTCTTAACATACTCAGGCATCTGAAATGTACAGTACCTGCAGTTGTGCTTTTGGTTGGTGTTGCTTTGTAGAAAGTTAGTCCGGTACTAATGTCTAGACTACTGAAGGATTCTCTGAATCTTTGTGCCATAACACAGAGAAAATACAGAATGTGTAGTGCGCCAAAGTTAGCGTATGTACAAACATGTAATAATTACAACGCGCAATAAAAGGAGTACAAATATCCAGCAAAGGACGCGAATTGTGTACGGTAAAGGAAGACACGTGCATGCATGAGTACCCTAGCAAAAGTGGACAAACCTAACGTATCCACGTGGTACTAATCGAGTACCGTACGGTACAGTCATTATTTATGCAAAACAATATCACAGGACATACTAGCATAAAAGAATGCAAATAATTTAATTTCAAAACACACGGAAAATCTCCGTAAAACAAATCGTTAAAACCGAAGGCTTATCGCAAATCACTACAAGGCCAAAAAGGAAGGGATAAATCGTGGGTTTTGATAAAAAAAATCGATACTGGCTTCCTGGGCAAATTGTAAACGATGGGAAAAGGCCAGAAACCTGGCCGAAATTCTAATTCCTTAACGGCTGGTCCAATTGTTTCGAAACCTTCACAGAACAATTTGTCGTGCCCTAACAAGCCCTTCTATGCATTTTGTTGTCCGAATTTTCCTTATCTTCATACTTTTGAAGGCCAAAACCTAATTGCTAATCTTTTTGAAACGGGCTATAAGTTTCAGATTCAACCTCAACTGACAAGTCACTCCGAACTGCTGCACTTGTCCCCTGGCCTGCTCAGCATGTTTCCCGCCAGCCAGCGCAGGCACGTGACAGGAGTTTGGCAAGCCGTCTATTGATGCAGGAGCCAGTCAACCATGACTGGAGCTGGAACCAACATGGCTGACATCATGTGACCCATAGATGCAGGGTATTGACTGGAGTTGTAACCAACATGGCTGCCCTGTATGGTCATATATGATGGATGTGAAACCACTCTATAACCAGGGCATTTTATACTGATTTTTCACTGTCACCGGGTCCGTGTCCATGTACCTGTGCTCATAGGTTACAGTGGACGTAACTGTGAGGTGAATGCCACGGCGTGTCCTTGCCAAAGCGGCGGAGTTTGCATGCTCAGCGCCAACTTCCAGTTCCTGGGTTGCATCTGCCCGCCTGGCTATTCGGGAACATTGTGTGAAGAGCGGGTAAGCTATAAGTACATGTACATGTACATGTGCATGTGTGTGCCGGTGTGCAGGGTTGCAGCATTATTGGTGTACTAGCTGTGCTAGTACTTGTTAGCAACAATCCGAACTAGCGCACACACTGCACTGCATTGCTTTGTACTGCATTCAAGACTGACGTCATGCGCTTTGTTTTGCTGCGTAATCACAAATGGCACCAGCCCATTTTTGCGGAAAAGAAAAACAAATCTTGCTTGCCCTGTTGTGCTCTTCCAGACAACGGATCGTGCTTCAGCAGTGTTTCTTTTCCTTTCGTAGCTTTGCTGCCAGCCCGAGTGTCACCTCGACACTGTATTTCTTCAGTACGTCTGACCTTACTGTCGACACTGTCAAGGCAATGCCTTGCCAAGCCCTCCGCGGCGAGCCTTCTCAGCGCGGCTTGAATCCGAAAGGAAACTTAGTAAAAGCATTTTACAGGACCGTTTGCTGGCACAACTAGCCCTTGGTAGTGAGGTCTGCTCCGGCCAGGAGAACCAGCAACATGACAGTGCGGACACGGCTCGCGAGCCCAGAAGCCCGACGTGCACCAATGCCTCCTCCGCCAGCTCAGGCGACGCGGGCTCAACGGATCTCTGCGCTCCCGTACGGGACGAGGTGTAGTCGGCTTTGTCGGCCGCCATCTTATTATTATCGGAGAGCATTGCGCCGCTCCTCACCCAAGGCCAAGGCAATGCGGCAGCTGCCGCCACTACGCCAGGCCAAGCTCCTGTAACCCACCCGATCAGCCACCTGCACCAGCTGTGCCCAAGGCTGTGCAAGAACGTATCTTGCGAGGGGAGTTCGTAGATTTTTCAAGTTTGTTGCCTGAAATTCTTGCACACTTCCGGCCCAACACTGTGATTCCGGCTGGTGCACAGCCCGAATGGCGATAGCCAGCTAAATATCGTTGAGTCGGATGACGCGAAGCAGGTGCGTCGCAAGGTTCACGATAATTACACATGTAGCTACCCGGCTCGAGGCATGGACCACATACATGTCTGTTATCACGGCTGCTGCCCTACACCGCACTGCTGAACTGATTGCGTACCAGCAGTTGATCCTGACCGCTAACTGCCAGTTCTTCCCAAGCGCGTGGCTAGAGTACGACCGCCAGCTGCGGATGCTCGTGGCCCAGTAACCAGGCACGAAGAGGTTGGACACCATCGACGTGAACCTATGGCAGATAGCTGTCACAGGCCATGCACACCCAAAATGCGCTCAATGTAAGACGGTCCATCCAGGGGCGGTTTGTGTCCTTTTCGTCCCGAAGCCAGCAGCATTTACCTCCAGTGGTCGCAACCATACCAGCGACGGCCAAGAAATCTGCCGCAACTTCAATGGAGGTCGCTGTTCTTCGTCGTCGTGCCGCTTCTCCCACACCTGCAGCCAGTGTGGCAAGGACCACCCATGCATCATGTGCAACCAGCAGCAGCGCGGAGCCAATCGGCCACCCCGCCGCTCCTAGCAGAATGGCTACTGAATCGCTTGACCCGGTACGTAGCTTCTTTCCTATACACTCTGCAGACACCACACTGCTAGCTGACCACTCTGCCCGCCTGTTACGTAACCACTCAGATCAATCATGTGTTGCGTATGTTCTCCATGGCCTGCGCCGTGGCTTTACTCTTGGATCTGCCGGCCAACACGACATTTGGTTTTCTCTAATAATCTACCATTGGCTTTCACTCACTCGGCATTTATATCCGAGCAATTAGCTGCTTCCTGCGCCCGCAGCGAGACCACGGGCCCATTTCCGTCACCTCCATTTCAGTTCATGCGCCGCTCTGGTATTGGTGCCATCCCCAAAAAGAACGGCAAGCCGCGAATGATCCACCATCTGTCTAGTCCGGAAGGCACCGGCGCGAACGACAGCATTCCTGCCGAGCCGCTCTCTCTGCACTACGCGAGCATTGACAACGCGATCAACATCATCATGTCATGCCCACAGCCTGTGTATTTGTCCAAGCTCGATGTACGCAGTGCATTTCGGCAGATCCCAGTCCGCCGTCAGGACTTCGCTGGGAAGGCTCCTACTACTACGAGCGCTTTCTGCCTTTCGGCCTCCGCTCCAGCCCAGCCGTCTTTGACTCAGTAGCCACAGCAGTCAACTGGATCATGCAGCACGAGTTTGCTATAGATCACCGGTTTCACTACCTCGATGACTTTCTCGATATCTCCACTGGTTTGGCTGCAGCCAACCAGCAACTCACCATCCCCCTCCGGGCGTTCACGTATCTCGGCACTCCTCTTTGCTCCATCCCAGCTCGAAGGGCCATCACCATCATTGACCTTCCTTGGTATTGTCCTAGACTGCGAGCGCCACGAAGCTCGGCTACCAGAGGACAAGCTGTCCGAGATCCGTGCGCCACTCATGGCTACTATCAGCGAGCGCAGCATCGGCCAGCGTCAACTCGAGTCCCTCCTGGGGAAGCTCACTTTTGCTGCCCGAGTCATCGTTCCTGGACACACATTCATGCGTGAACTATGATCAGCGTGCCCTGAACTGTATCTGTGTATGCGAGTGCGGTGCATAAAGCCCACCTTGAGAATGGGTTTGCCGGCCCCTTAGTAGATGCGTGGCTTCTGAAGAGGGCGTTGAAGGGCATCCAGCGATGCCATGGTACGGCTGCACTCACCCCTCGCCTTCCTATAACTATGCCAATCCTACGACACCTGACGGATGCACGCCGGAAAAGTAGTATCCTGAATGGCCATGACAAGCTGCTCTACCAAGCCGCCATGCTGCTTCTTTGGATTTCTTCGGTGCGCTGAATTCACTAATGGCATCACACAGGGCTGTACTAGCTCCCCTGGTGACGGACGCCTGCAACTCTTCCTGCTTTCATCCAAGATGGACCCATTCGGTAAAGGCGTTACTAGTGACATTGGCCCGTCTGTACCGCCGTACTGCCCGGTCCGTGCCATTGTTAGCTACCCATCTGTCACTCGTCGCGAGGGACCGGAGCAACTCTTGTTCGTATTCTCGAACAGACAGCAGCTGACCAGGCAGTCATTCACAGTAACAGTATGGTCTCTTGTCGCTGCGGCCGGTGTACCATCCCAGTCGAACTACTCCGGGCATTCGGTCCACATTGGTGCAGCCACCACCGCTGCTATGGCTAGTGCTCCCGACTCCTTCTTCCGAGTGGCAGGTCAGTGGAAAGAGCGATGCGTGTCTACGCTACATCCAGACTACAACAAGCGCATAGCGCCAGCTATCGTCCCGGCTTGCTGCCATGCCATGGATGCCATGATCCCCAACTCGGGTGAGTAATGAGCTACTGAACTCTAGCTGCGCAATGCTTGCCTGTGCTGACATTAATTGACCCTTGCTGTGCGTCAATAGTGCTTAGCTAACGGAGTGCTGGTTTCATGGGTCCACTCTCACAACTGGTGTTATCTAGCTATTTGCTGCGGCTCTGCCTTGCGCTATATTACATCCATTTAGCATTGCAGCTCTACGTTGAGCTAACAGCAGCTCTACTTTGAGCTAACAGCAGCTCTACTTTGAGCTAACAGCAGCTCTACTTTGAGCTAACCGCAGCTCTACTTTGAGCTAACAGCAGCTCTACTTTGAGCTAACCGCAGCTCTACTTTGAGCTAACAGCAGCTCTACTTTGAGCTAACAGCAGCTCTACCTTGAGCTAACAGCAGCTCTACTTTGAGCTAACAGCAGCTCTACTTTGAGCTAACAGCAGCTCTACTTTGAGCTAATCGCAGCTCTACTTTGAGCTAACAGCAGCTCTACTTTGAGCTAACCGCAGCTCTACTTTGAGCTAACCGCAGCTCTACTTTGAGCTAACAGCAGCTCTACTTTGAGCTAACAGCAGCTCTGCTCTGAGCTAACAGCAGCTCTGCTCTGAGCTAACACCAGCTCTACTTTGAGCTTCAAACCAGTTGTTTCGAAACCAGCACTCCTCAATCCAAAGATGCCTCTTTGTTGACTTGTTTGTGTGAGGGATGGGGCTAATGGTGTACTAGCTGTGCTAGTACTTGTTAGCAACAATCCGAACTAGCGCACACACTGCACTGCATTGCTTTGTACTGCATTCAAGACTGACGTCATGCGCTTTGTTTTGCTGCGTAATCACAAATGGCACCAGCCCATTTTTGCGGAAAAGAAAAACAAATCTTGCTTGCCCTGTTGTGCTCTTCCAGACAACGGATCGTGCTTCAGCAGTGTTTCTTTTCCCACCATCCCTCCCTATCCAACTTATTCACACCATCATAATATTATCGTACCCACTAACCGGGTCCACTCTCACAACTGGTGTTATCTAGCTATTTGCTGCGGCTCTGCCTTGCGCTATATTACATCCATTTAGCATTGCAGCTCTACGTTGAGCTAACAGCAGCTCTACTTTGAGCTAACAGCAGCTCTACTTTGAGCTAACAGCAGCTCTACTTTGAGCTAACCGCAGCTCTACTTTGAGCTAACAGCAGCTCTACTTTGAGCTAACCGCAGCTCTACTTTGAGCTAACAGCAGCTCTACTTTGAGCTAACAGCAGCTCTACCTTGAGCTAACAGCAGCTCTACTTTGAGCTAACAGCAGCTCTACTTTGAGCTAACAGCAGCTCTACTTTGAGCTAATCGCAGCTCTACTTTGAGCTAACAGCAGCTCTACTTTGAGCTAACCGCAGCTCTACTTTGAGCTAACCGCAGCTCTACTTTGAGCTAACAGCAGCTCTACTTTGAGCTAACAGCAGCTCTGCTCTGAGCTAACAGCAGCTCTGCTCTGAGCTAACACCAGCTCTACTTTGAGCTTCAAACCAGTTGTTTCGAAACCAGCACTCCTCAATCCAAAGATGCCTCTTTGTTAACTTGTTTGTGTGAGGGATGGGGCTAACGGGTTTTAATGTGCTGTTCACATATTAGAACGTACTAGCATGGGCTTGACCTACAGTTGCGCTCACTGAAATCCGACCCAAAGTGCAAAGCTGGCGCCCTGGACCAGTTCCGATGACATCATTGTGGGTGTACATGTGTACGTCCAGCCGCATTCATTCCACTGCCAGGGCGTCACCGGCCGTGGAAGTTGAGGGTGCCAGTTTTGCACGTTGGGTCGGATTTCAGTGAGCGCAACTGTACTATTGACTATTGCAGTACAACGTGCGAAGGTCTTTACCAAGCTTTACCATGCTATTGGAGCCTTCACTTGGCTCTACCAACCCTTAGGATCTGTCAACAGTGACCTGGCATGATAGCTCCCGTGAAGAGTTGCATGCCGGCACTGGTGACATGGCTGTACTGCGGTAACCAATTATTCCCACCTGTCATGTACATGTAGTATGTATAGTGCAATAGACTCGGCGACATATCAATCACAGTGTTACATCGGGATGGAAGCATTAGGGGTAGGTTAGAGCAGGTTCAATGTGATGTAAGACAATCTGACTGTGTATGAAGGCAACACAACCAGGTGTGATGGCTGTACACTGTATGTTCTATACTGTATGATGTCTGTAGGTCACATCCCTACCGCCACCACCACCTCCGCCATCGTTCATCCCGCCTCCACCAGTGCCTCTCTTCCCAGCCCTCATCGCTATTCCGCCGCCTCCCTTCCCTCCGCCACCGCCACCGCCTCCGGATGTATTCAACTCCACAACTCCACCACCACCCACCACTACACCACCGCCACCCACGACTACACCACGTGAGTTGATCCACCAGCTCTGCCGCGCGCAAACACAGACTGAGAAACCGGCCATTAATTGGCACAACGCAACAAAATCAAAAGTTTTATTATACTCAATCGAGAAGGACATTTTGCCCTTTCTCATCGTTGGAGATTCCAAGAGAGTCAACACAAGGTGCCATCCTGCTAGCGATATTAGAGTCACTCGGATCAATGCTAAGCTTTAACAGTAAACTATAACGCCGCACTGGATTACCTTGTCCCCCGGTATCCAGACTGGGGACTATCGCGGAATGCATCAAACAACATATTAATTTTATGACAGGCTAGCAAGGAAGCCACTTGCCAACCATAGCCCTGGCTAGTCGATAACGACAGTGTCGTTGTGCTGGGGTACGGCCAGCATACGTGCCTGGCTATTGCGGCGACGGCCTTGGAGTTATCAACCCGGCTCACCATCCTACACAGTACAAACCATGCTTTTTTTGGCTCCGTTGGCATTGACTTCGTTCAGACTCTCTACTGCATACGCTCTCCGGCCGATCTCAATTACTACACCAGCAACACGACTCCAAGTTGTACATACTAGTAATTCATACATGTATGTATTCTGATGACTCGGAATGGGTAAACAGTGTTTGTAAAAAGAAGACTTGCCAGAGTAAAATTGGTGACTTTCTTGCTTTGTCATTCACTTGTTGTAGCCTAATTCTCTATCTAAATCTCAACTATGACTGCATGCCAACTGACTTGGGTGTATATCATTCTATCGTGTTGCCTGGCTTCTCAGCGAGCATCGGTCCAACGACACTGCCGTTCCCAGGGTGTGCGGCTGTCAACCCGTGTCTGAACCAAGGCGAGTGTATCGACTACCCGGACAACGCACAGGGATTTATCTGCCGCTGCTCACCTATCTACTTTGGCGAACTGTGTGAAAACCGTAAGTCACAAGTCACACATGCAAGATTGATTTTCGAGTGATGGAAGAGTCTCATGCCAGCTTCAATCTACTTGTAGCAATAAGCTGGATGCATGCCATTATCGCGTGGGCTTTGGTGACGAGTTGCGTGTGGATGTGTATGTGTTGGGGGGGGGGGGGGAGCGTAGGGTAGGGAGGCGGTAGAGCTGTATGTGCGTATGTACTTGTGTGGACGTAATTACTTGTATACAGTTTCTCATTGCACTTGCACATTTATGTGTATATGTGCTGTATGTGTGTTCAGTGTTGGATACGCCACAGTTCAACAGGACGTCAAGTCTGGTGCTTGGAGGCTTCTTAGAGACCAGAACAAGCTTCGCTATCGAATTCTTGTTCAGATCAAGAGAACTTGATGGTCTTCTTTTCTACACTGGCCAGCCAAATCTGGGTAAGACAATCACACTGCATGGCGGGAAGGTTTTATATGTGACAGTTGTACCATAATACTGGATAGTGCATGTGTGTGTGTGTGTGTGTGTGTGTGTGTGTGTGTGTGTGTGTGTGTGTGCGTGTGTGTGTGTGCATGTGTGTGTGTGTGTGTGCATGTGTGTGTGTGTGTGTGTGTGTGTGTGTGTGTGTGTGCGTGTGTGTGTGTGCATGTGTGTGTGTGTGTGTGTGTGTGTGTGTGTGTGTGTGTGTGTGTGTGCGTGTGTGTGCGTGTGTGCGTGTGTACGTGCGTGTGTACGTGCTTGCGTGTGCTTGTGTGCGCTTGTGCATAGGTGTGTTGCCCGAAAAGCCCATGCTTGTAGGAAGGTTGCAATGAGGATGTGGAGATTGCAACTGACAGTTACTCAGTAACAGTGCCGTACTAAAATAATGCGAACACTAGTGGACCGGAGCAGTTTTTCCTTTCGCCCAAAGTATTTTTCTCAAGTTACGGAAGCTCCACCGCAACCACTTCATTACACTGAACACCCGGCACAAACCATCCTCAAAGCAAGTCACGGGTCTCTTCCCGGCACAAACCATCCTCAAAGCAAGTCACGGGTCTCTTCGCTACAAACTAGTAATCTTGTGCTCAAACTTTCGGCCAGCAGGTATCATCAGGATTGAGGAGAAAAGCAAGTGAGGTGGGCTTTACTCTTCTCGAACCCCCCCCCCCCCCCCCCCCCCAAGTCACTTTATAACAGAACTGCACCCACACTGTACAAACAACCCACCATACACCAAAGTGGTGTACAACACCACTTGTAATTGCAGGACTGCACCGCTCATATACAAAAGGGAGTTGCACAGTGAGATTCAATTCGTTCTAACCGACTTAGAACAACTGAAGTTTGTTCTGCAGTGTCAATTGTGTTCAAGTGCGGACAATGAAAATGCTAAATCGCAAAGTTCATAACATGTGAATTCGATACATCGAGTTGATTATGTTGGAATTTTGAAATGATTGCTAAGCACCCATTTGATGTGCTCTGTATTTTGAAAGACGTGTTTCACTAAAGGCAAGTATCCAGTGAAGAATCAATCTTTGCTGTTACAAATTCTTCGTTTTTCTGCCGTAAAATTTTTCCAGATTCTTACGTCTATGCTCATCTGGAGAATGGCTTGGTTGTGGTGCGTGTCAACCTGGGCAATGGTGAAGCAGTGATCCGACCTACCCAGCATATCTATACACAGCCACTGTGGAAGCGCTTGTTTGTTACGTAAGCCGATAGCTGGTAGCTGGCTGTTCTGTACAGTACACTGACTGCTCGTGCACTTGGTGTATGACTGCAATTGCTTGTGTCCACATGGTGCCGGACATTCAGCATTGTGGTGTTGGTGCCACAGGTAATGGGAGACAGAGCATAGCTGTTTCAGATGAAAATGAAATCATGTACAGTTTCAAGTTATAGCTGGTAGCACGTTCACTCGGTGCATGACTGCGATTGCTTGTGTCCACAGGGTGACATTCAGCATTGTGCTAGTCCAGTTTGGCGACGAACAGCTGCAGCCAGTCTTCGCGCCCGGCTCTGGACAGTTCCTGCAGACCGATGGGCGCGTGTACATTGGTAGTCTTGCCAACCAGACTGTCCCCAACTCGCAGTTCTATGCCAGGACCGGCTACAGCGGGTGCATAGCTAACATATCGGTAAGGAAGCAGATTGGCTCGGCGTTGCAAGATAGCAGGCCGCGAAGGCTTGAAGCTGTGCAAAACAGGTCATCGCATATGCATTGTATAAGTACATGGAGTGGATAACAGGGCTTGTTTTGCATTGAGTAACGGACAGTTTGTAGTTTGTTTGTACTGATATTTTGAATGGCAATTTTGTATGCGCCTTGATCCTTGGGGGTGATGGCGTTCCTACGGACGTGTCAATCTTACGCGAATGGTGATTTTTTTTGTATGGCAAGCACCACTAAACCGGAACTCAGCATACCGCTATGCCGTGGCTTGCCCGCTCCGTACGAAGCATCTCAAATGATGACGTAATCGCGTTCAAGCGATGACATAATTGCCTTTTCATGGTGGTTTGAAATCGGAACAATGTCTTCAAGTGTATAGGCTCAGCATGCATCCTTGATGTGATCCGGGCGTGTATCGAATACTGACAAATAGTCAGAAGCATGACTATGGAATGCTCTGATTGCACAACTAGTGCATGGAGTGTCTGCACATCCCGTGATGCTTTCAATGCTCTGAATTTTGCTTCTACTTTTCAATCAACCTGGGCAATGTGCAGGCTAGGCTTTTGGTAGTCGCACGTGGAATGCCGTCAAGTCCTTAGGTACTGTAAACCGTGAAATTATTGCGATGGTCTAATTTCTGCGAAATTCGCGACCGCGTGGAAATCGCGAAATTTAGACAGCGCGAAAAGGAGATCCATAAAAGGTTTAGCATGAATGCCACAGTAGCAAATTCTGCAATCGCAAAATTAAAACCTCGCAAACCTGTCCGGATTCTGAAAACGCGAACTAAAAACGCCGCGAAAATTTCACGCTTTACAGTATCCGCGAGCATGCAGACCACAACAGCAAGCTGTGCATTTGCCCATATTTCCTGGGGATGCTTTTTATCAGGTATAAGAGGGAGTTGTCAAATATCAACAGTCCCGAGAAGAAACAAGGCAAAGTTACTGGGCTATAATGGATATGCTTTTTATGCTGTTTGTATAATGCTGTTTGTCACGTTGTATTCAGATTGACACACAGCCTGTGGACATCCTGCCGTTGGTCAGTGCTGGCACAAACATCTCGCCCTGTATTGGCCTGCCCTGCCAGAACCTACCATGTCAGAACAGTGCAACTTGTCAGCCCATCGGACCAACCGAAGAGGTATGCTCGATTGCAACGATTGCAATGCTGTCCTCTTCCCACTGTCACTCTGTCTTTCTCTCTGTCTGCCTATTCCTCTTTACTTCACCTCTGCCGCATTCCGTGCCAGAAATTGTAACGGCACAGCCATCACTGTAGTAACGGCACAGCTATCACTGTAATAGCAATGGCACTGAGTGTTATGCATCACCTTGCCTGATACATGTATAGACCAAATTGCAATACAACGGATGCCACTGATCCAGATTGCTATCCTTACGAGTACATGCTGACTGACATTCATGCCACTGATACAGTCAGACCTCCCTTATCTGGTCCTCTTTTATCCGGATCCCTTGCCATCCGGACGAAAATTGTTGGTCACCGATTTGCAGCATATGTCATGCATACATACAGTAGGTGCGTTTGATTATCCGGTTCCCTCGCCTATCCGGATATTTATATATATAGGCATGCTGTCATCATGCCACTGATCCAGCTTACATATACATGCTGAGTGACTGCCATCATGCCACTGATCCAGATTACTAATATACTTACATGCCGCTGACTGTGCTTTGGCAGGAGTTCAACTGTACATGTCTGCCCGGTTTCATCGGTCGTATCTGCGCTGACGACGTGGATCCGTGCGCCCGGCGAACGTGCTTGAACAACGGCCGCTGCTTCAACAACGTCATCAGTCCCATCAACATTCAGCCATTCTGCCGTTGTGAACTGGGCTATGCCGGACCAGATTGTGGAATGCGTGAGTTGTCAGTTCCAGACAAGACAAACTGTTCAAAAATGGACACAGTAGAGTTAGTGTTCGAATGATAGTGGTGATATTGGTGATATTGGTGATATTGGTGGCAATGTAAGAACAATGGCTGCTACCTACATAGAAAAAGCGAGAGTAATGAAACATTTGTTTCATTTATTGTTCTTGTGAATGTGTTGTGAGGCTGAGCATTGGCAGTTTAGGAACAAGACCTGTTCTGCTCAATTTTGATTATTTTCTTACTATGCACTTACGCGTCAGTGTCAGTGTCACTGGTGGTAAACCATCCACGAATTCTGCACGTGCAGAATGGACTTGTGGACTGGGCACGAAGCATTCTGCTGCTCAACACTAAGATAAAAGTTGATTGCGGAGACTGATGAACTTTGGATTCTAGTGCAAGCTCGAGGTGGACTGTAAGCAATCTGCATTTGAATGAGGGCGTGAGCTTCCAATGCCTAGAGGTACCTGGGTGCAAGGTATTGTGGTACATTGAAAACTGTGCTTGCTATTGGCCATCTCGTCATACTATTCTGGAAGATCATCTTTTCTGATCTAATCCCTACTCCACTTCCCTACATTGTTGTAACGGGTATTTCTAATGTTATCGCGGCAAGACTTCGACGATGCCGTGTTACATAATCTTCCTCAGTTGAATCAGAGAAACAGGGAGCGGCGTCCCGGGGACATGGAGGAACTCACATTATTTTCTCCCTGTTGATCTCAGGCATACCGATCGACGTCAAGGAGTTCTTCGGCGATCGTTTCTACGGCAACTCGTTCATCCAGTATTCCTATGTATCGGCGAGGGTAAGTCGGTGGAGCAGGCCCGTGTTGTGTGCAATGTCAACCATACCAGGAACTCTAGTGCATCTGAATCTGGTTTGCTGCTGGAGATGCACCAGTGTTCAAACAGATTAAACCTTCAAGCATTAACTCCTCTCGGGGGGGGGTTGTTGCTTATTGTCAATGAATCTTGGATGTAACTTACCTTGATACAACATCATACTGTTGGCCACATGATCTTCGCTACGTTTCACTTGTCTCAAAGCTCCGTAGTTAGCTTTGAGCACGCACCCAATTGAATCTTCAGGCAGCTAGCACTGTGCACATACATAGATACGTACACCTTAGTTGAGTGCAGGCAATCTCTGCCATTTAGTTTGTCAGTGTACTCATGATAGGCAGCGGTTCTTTCAGCCAAGTGCAGAACCCGTGAGCCAATGTCCACCTATGCTCTTCTCCTGCAGGTCCAGAGCCAGTTCAAGTTCGAGTTCAATATCCGTCCAACAACTGAGCTGGAATCCGGGGTCATTGCGTACTCATCTGTCGGCGGACCTGTCAACGACCTGCTGGCCATTTACATGACGAACGGTATACTGAACGTCGCCTTGGACTTTGGAATCAACCTTGCCATCGGTAAGACATGGTCCAGTGTCCTGATCCCCATCCACACAAGCATTCATCAAGCACCAGTAGGTTGGGGGGGGGGGAGCCTTGAACAAGAGCATGCGCAGTGTGATCTTGCTACTGTGGTAGCTGCGTACCCAGCGTGAAACACTCAGCCGCCGCAATGTACCACTACTACCCAACCACACACACAACAAGGTCACCGTAACCAAGAGGACGTTTATTGTAGCGAAGAACAAGAAGAAGGACAGAGGCAGATGATTGGTTCAGCCATGAAACTCTGAGTCAGAACAGAATTTGCCCAAGGTTTTCATTGTGTGCCTTTGTGAACAAGAAGAAGGAGAAACGAGAAGTGTCCCGGCAGCCACGGACACATTCTATTCTAGGCCAGCCAAACTAAGGAGTGCAACCGCAATAGCACCAGCGATACTATGTCAGGTCCTACGGTTGCCATCAGTGGGAATAGTACGGGCGTCGTGTGCATGGTATACCGTAACAATGATGACAGGTGAATAGTATGTTGCACCGTCATCAGGGGAAAGGCAAGATGGTGGTGAAGTGGAGCAATACATTATACCTCAAGTACATAATTAAAATAGAAGAAATGATTAGAAATCACATGGAAACGAGGTATGAAGCAACTATCCCCGACTGTAACAAGATATTTTAATTCTAATTTTGATTATATTTACTGGCTCACTGGTATCCGAGTCAAGTACATAGGAGAGTACATAGGATAAGCGGTGTTAGGACAGCCCTGCATGCACTGGATAGGAGGCGAGTGTGCATGATGTTAGGAGGCGCAGACAACCGTATAACATGCATCTGGTCATGAATAGCAAAAGTCACAGTTTCAGCATTGCCGGATAGCAGACATCTTCCCCGGCTTCGCAAAACACACGTCATCGTCTCTTTTGCAAAGGTGGAGTAACTTCGAATAAGCACTGTACAGAGATTCCGCATAGTGCAAGCCACGACATATGAAATGAACAACTATTTCCGTACGGGGATGGAGGGGAAAGAAGGGAAGCGGAAACCTGCGTATGATATCTCACTAGCACCTTCGTTTTAGGAACTGTAATTATAGTACTTCTAGTGCCACATTCTTATAATAGAGTTCACAGCACCTTCTCTAACAGTTAAGAACATGAAATATGAGAACCGTGCAGGTGGTCTACGATTCCTTCTCCGCCGCGTCAGGGCATGAGGTGTTTGTGGCAGCTGAACTGCTGGTGGTGGCTGGGGAACAGGAGCAGTCAATTGTGCTATAACGGGAGACTCACCGCCATAGGTCTCACCATTGTCGCACTCGTCCCGGTACAGCAGGTCTGTTGCATCGGCTTGGTATGCGTCAGGCTGTCGGACCATAGCGATGTTACTCCCGGAGTCACCCACATCATCGACGTCTTCCGGTGCTGATTGCAGGTGTTGCAGCCGCACTAGACACAGATGACAGCTTGGCCATAACTCCGAACGAACCGCACCAAAGTTTGGCAAACTTGGCCGTAGTTCCAACTGGAATAGCTGGCACCAGCACCCACACCGAATCGCCCACATCAAATGACACTAGCACCGCGCCAGCGTCATGGAGATGTGCTTGATGGCCAAATGTTAAGTCAAGACACATGCTGGGCGCCAAATGTTAACTCGGCTTTAGTCAGTCGGCAGAGCAAGAGAGTACAGTAATGAGTAAAGGTTCTAATGCACATTAAGACAGTTCTCAAGTGATAGTTCGGATCTAATCCGCAGGAAGCTTATCTCTAGGGAACTGATCTGCAGGGAACTAATCTCCAGGCAACTAATCCGCAGCTTGTCCCGCACAAACGCATGTGTTTGTTGCAGGGAAAGTCGCAATTCCTTGACGCATCCTGCAGTTGTCTCGGCCCGAGCCGTCGTGATTTCACGAGACTAGATGCGGCAGGATGAATGGTAGGTAGGCGTACAGAGGCAGAATGAAAGTGCAAATCTTGGGCGCCCGGATCAGAAGTAGAGGAGGGGTGACCCACCGCCACGTGTGTTTGGTGGGCGCCATCCCTGCCGTGGGGACTGGAAGATACCAGGCGCAGGGCGAGTGGACTCTTGATGAAGTACCTGCTCCAGTTTCTCAGTCAGCTGCGACAGAGATGCTGTGAGAGTGGCCAATTGCTCGTCTTGGCTAACTGGGGCAACCAAGGATGCTGTTCGTGACGTGGTGACTCGCACACTCCAGATGTGGCCATCACAGTCTGAAGCAATGGCTGGGCGACCGCGCCCAAACCCGCCCCAACATAAGGGCCCACTAACTTGGTCGATGCATCTGGTGGAAGCTCTACCTCCGACCATACCTTTTCCAGGTGCAATGCCGTTTCTACCGCTCCTTGGACGATTGCCGGTGGGTTCTCCTGTAATCACACCCTTAGGGACACCGGAGAAAGAGATTCGATAAATTGGTATCGCACCACATCATCGTGAACTGCATCTGGCATCATAGGGTAAACCCGAACAACTAGGCGGCGAAGGTCATCAGTGATTCGCAGTAGGTCCTCACCGGCCTTCCATTGCCGCATACGGAATTGGGCCTTGTACTGGTTTGCACCGCAGCAGGTGCAAACCGATTTCCCATGTCAGCGCAGAGATGTTGCCAATTCACTCGTCGAGCAGCAGGCAAGGTAGTGAAGAACCGGCAAGCTGCATCGCGCAGCCTCACCCCAAGAAATTGGGCCCTCTCCGGATCCTGCCATCCATTGACCTCCGCACACTGCATGAAATAGGCCAAGCACTCCTGCCAATCTCCTTCTCCATCAAAGGTCTCTGGCGTAACATCCGGACACGACACTAGTGCTACAGAAGTAGATATATTATTACTACTATGCACAGTACACATGGGTACCTATATAACAAGATTGCATTTACTGCCTGCACTTCATGGCAAGGAAGTGAGGGTGAAACCAACCATGGACAGAGAGCAAAGATGCAATTGAAGAGAAAAAAAAGAAAAAAGAAGAACAAGGTAAGGAAGTCTACTGCCAATGCGGACACAGCAAGAACTGAGAACTGAAATCAGGAACAGTGGACTTCGGAGAACAATGAGCGCGTGAGAGTTTGTTGGGAACAGAGCATGCGCCTCAGTTCTGTGTTAACATTCTTTTTCGCGTGCGCAAAAAAATCATTCAATAAAAACAATTCTCCATCAATATTTCGGCCCTGGGCCACCATCAGGATTTTTTTTTAAGGGGAAGTATACCCTAAAATCAAATTTTCACCAATTGAAGTCTTCGGGGTGCTGAGTCGAATGGTCTTGGTCCGAGGAAGCTGAGACGCTCCCTTCCTCCTTTATTCCCAATCGAACTCGCCACTTCCACCGAAACTGGGTGACTGCGCCCTACTAGATGGGAATTTGTATGCAAAATGTCACTAAAAGCGCCATTTGGTTATTATAAAAGCACGGATGGCCACGATTGGCCCATATGTAGTAGTCTTGTGGACGCTGAGTGGACTGGCTTTGGTCCGAAAGGGCTGCGATGTAGCGTTCGGCAAGTATTCCCAATCGAACACGGGTGAGTAAGCGGTCACGTGCTCCTGCGTACACCAGTCACCTGGTCACCGTGCCTGCAGGCTACAACTTACAGCCTGCTTGAGCGCATTCCTGTCACTCGAGTTGAACCTTTGAACCTTTGAGTTGAACCTTGGTGTGAAAGTTGTCGCCTGCAGGCACGGTGACCAGGCGACTGGTGTACGCACGAGCACATGATTGACTCACTTGATCGGATTTTTCATTGAACAGCACAGCAGTACCTTTCGAGCACTTTGCAATTATAAAGCTTGTGTTATATTCCGTGAAAACCCCTACACACGCCATTCTCAAATCAAGACAGTGGTTTCTTCGCTGAAAATTACTCATGTCTCAATCAAATTTTCAGCCAGAGGCCATCATCATCAGGTGTTATATTCTGCAAAAAAAACAGTACACATCGGTCGGTCCAACCAGACTGGGAGTGTGTATGAACTGACCCGTGACTGCTCTGCTGTTTTGCTTGTCCTGTTCTGCTTGGGATTAGCTGAAGTTAGCAGCCGAGTGTTGCAGGCCAACCAGTGGTACTATGTGGAAATAAACCGTGATGTGCGGGACTTCAGTGTGGAGGTAAGCAGTTCACCTCCGCCCGGCCGACTAAGAACACTGTCAGTTGATTCTGCATGCCTAAATAGTATGCAGTTATATCTGTCTTTGGGGGCCACTTCACTGTGGAACACAGAACCGGTCTTTCAAAACAGTCTTTCTGCAAACGTCTTAAGTCTGTTTTAAGAGCAAACCGTTGTGAATTAAAGCACCCTGCTATCCAGAATATTTTTGTTGGCCCATGTAGCGCATACATGTACATGTTTGGTTGTGGAGGATGAAGAGTCTACCTACAGTAATTGCTCTTGTCATGTCTTGCACTGTGTGTGTGTGTGTGTGTGTGTGTGCGTGTGTGTGTGTGTGTGCGTGTGTGTGTGTGCGTGTGTGTGTGTGTGTGTGTGTGTGTGTGTGTGTGTGTATGCATATGCATGTATGTGTGTGTATGCATATGTATGTATGTGTGTATGCATATGTATGTGCATGTGTGTGTGTGTGTATGTGTGTGTGTATATGTGTACCCCCCCCCAGGTATCCTCACTTCCCTACGAGAACGACACTGTCATTGTAAATGCCGTAGCCAACGCGGGCACCAGTAGCTCACTGAATCTCAACGACATCCTGCTCATTGGTGGCATCTCTACTGATATTGCAAGTGAGTACCTTGTAATTCACATCAAGGTTAACCCTTTGTGGACGGACTGTACGAGTTTCGATCTAATAAGATCGAAACTTCGTAACTTCGTAACTCCATCGTTTCTTGAGCAAATTCCACAATCGAAGGGTCTACGTGGTAGCGGGAACTCCAAGCTGTCCAATGCAACAATCGCTGAAGAGTTACAATGTCGGACGCCAGAGATATCGCACGCCGTATTCTTACCTCGGCAAATTCAAATTTTTGATCGATCATTTCGCCATTTTGGGGGAAAATCCCTTTTCGTGTGCTCTTTGAGCGACTGAGCACATGATAATGACGTAGCAGGCTGAAGTTTGAATCGTCTCAAACAGATTTGAGCGTTCTGCGATGAAGGAGAGTGGAATGGCGTTGATGGGACGAATTTGCTTGCATATCAGGCTTGGAGACGACTTTGCTGTGTTACCGCGCCTGATTTGTGGCAGCCGGATAATGGAGATTGGTACCCTGACGCAGCTCTCGCCAAGAGTTTTCCAATGAGCCCTTGATTGTGAAAATCAAGTGAAGGACACCAAAGTTATGACATGGAAAAGTTGAAAATTGTACTGACATTTTGTAATTCTGGTGCATACTGTGCTAGTAATCCGTCCATAAAGGGTTAAGACGATGTGATGATTCGGGTTCAGGTTGAGTATGTCATTTCTTGCTGCATTCTCACTCGAACCATGCATGCATGGAGCATAGCCTGTGATAGTGACCATGTGGTGTTGCTATGAGTGCAGTGAGTACCTGACGGCTGCAGAACAACAGAGGTGGTCACAGTGTGCAGGGGTAGTATACAGGGCTGCCGTAGCACCCGGTTAGTCTGACTGAAAAGAATGCCTGACCGGAAATGAACACTGTTGAGCAAAAAAAAAGAAAAAGCAATGGTTCGCTTGAATTGGGCGGGTCAGCTTTTTCGAAACAAGGTTCGCCTTGGTCGGACCGGACGCGTTTTGGCCCTGGAATAGGGGCAAGATGCTACGCAGTGTTTTCTATGTGACCGCATGGTCTCCACTGACTTTGATGATAGTGAAGCGTACCCATCTAACTGTATGTCCTGGTGTTGCTGTGCTGCACTGCTTTTAACCGTTCAGCCGGCCCTTTGCCGCCGCGTGCCCTCGTGCCCCAGGAATCCTTCACCGGTTGCCTGACTCGCCTGCGTCTCAACCAGAGAATGCTGGTGCCGTTCCGCGGCCAGGCCATTGGCCAGTGCGGCGTCGAGAGGCAGTGCGAGCTGAGACCGTGTGCCGACGGCGCAACATGTATCGAGGTTAGTGCAAGACGATGAGGAGTTGTTCTTAGACCAATGATGGAGGTCTTGGCGCACAGTTCCGTTGTTGAGCTTCAAAAAAACTGGACATCCTGTATTGGTGTGTGGGTATGTGAGTAGGGGTATTGGTGGGTGGTGGTGGGAGTAGGGGCATTGGTGGGTGGTGGTGGGAGTGGGGGTATTGGTGTGTGTGGGTGGAAGTGGGGGCATTGGTGTGTGTGGGTGGGAGTAGGGGTATTGGTGTGTGTGGGTGGGAGTGGGGGTGGGAGTGGGGGTATTGTGTGCTCAATAACATCGTTGATGCACAGCAGTAATGGTAACGAAAGACTAGCTTCCAGTCACCAAACATATACAGCAGATGAGAGAGAGAGAGAGAGAGAGAGAGAGAGAGAGAGAGAGAGAGAGCCTGAGAGAGAGAGCCTGAGAGAGAGAGAGAGACAGACAGATAGACAGACAGACAGACAGACAGACAGACAGACAGACAGACAGACAGACAGACAGACAGACAGACAGACAGAGACAGAGACAGAGACACAGAGAGATAGATAGAGTGAGAGTGAGACGGAGACAGAGACAGAGACAGAGACAGAGACAGAGAGAGAAAGAGAGAGAGAGAGGGGGGCATGGAAGGATGATTGCAAATTGAACAAAACAAGAGAAGAGTACATCTCGGGACACTTTGGCCTAGTCTTTCTTCGAGGCACTAATAAACGCACCAGAAGAGAGGCATTGAACTCCCGATCATTCTGTACTCTAGCAGTGGCACTCCTCTCCCGCTCTTCATCTCTCTTCTCTTCGTATTCTCATTTCTCTCTTTCCTTCTTCTCGTAGCGCTCTTGATCCTTTTGCTCCTGATATCGCCGCCTGTCCTCCTCCATTTTTGTTCAAATCCACGCCTTTCTTGCTCTCTTCTAGTCTCTGCTTCAATCACGTCCTTTGGCACTGCAGCATACGCCTCCAAGAAGTGCGACTGGGACTGGGAGGATGTCGACCGGTGCCTCGTTGTTTCACGGCTCGGCTTCTTGCCTGGCTCCTCACCACTCTCCTGGCTTGAATGCTGCCGGGGACGCTTTTGCTGCAGCAACTTCCAGCGGTGTGCCGCCATCCGCGCTATCTATGCCATCCTCATCCGCAATTGCAGTGTCCGCATTGCTCCCTCCTGGCCCAAAAGGCTGATGCTTGACGAAAAGTCTGTGATCATGAGAGCTGGAAATTCCCCCACTCCTTGTAGGCAGCCTACAGTGAGGACCTAGATATGCAAGGAAACAAGTGCAATAATCAGTTCCACAAAAATACGTCCCACTGAAAGTAGGCACATCATAGCCGTTGGCTCAGAACAACACACTTTGTTGGAGGAGAGGAGCTCTGGTGCACATGAATGCAACTTTCTTGTGCGTCAAAAGGCTATATTTTGTATTCATGCTTGCTACAAAATATATCGGAAGAACTTATTATTTCCTGAGCTAGAATTTTTAGTTCCCTTCTCACGATCAATTGAGAAAACAAGACCATAAATTTACCAGACTGGCCCGCATAGTCGGAAGGTGAGAACAGAGCCTCGGACTTCTATAGTACAACTATAAACACCATACCTCCAAATCAAAGTACTCATCAACTGGAGCTCCAGTTTTCGTCTTCGTCCTGAAGGTCTTGTAGATTTTCTTCCCCTTTCGCTTCAAGTTGTCAATCTTAGTCTCGATGTTTGCCCTGGTGACCTCCATCCAGCCTTCAGCTTCAGCTTCTCCAGTCTCGTTGACCCGCATCGCTATCGCTGCGTATTTCTCTTGAGCTGTCAATGTAGAACCTGAAGCGCCAACAAATATCTGGCGCACAAGAGGGATACCGGAAATGGAAACTAGTATTTCGCCATCCGTCTCAATTTGTGCTGCATGCAAACCACCTACGTACCTACACATAGCCCTTCATCACCGCTCGCTACATCTCGTTGCTGAACACGGTTTTCGGCATGATGGTTCTTCGACACAAACACTTTCAACCTCACCAAACACACTTTACTCAAACAAACAGCATTCAAATGACCGCACCAGACCAGCTTTATGGGCAGTAAACCGTTCACAGTGCTCCTCTGCGCGCTGGGCAACTTTTCCTGGAGGAAACGCGCCAGGAACGTCACGTGAGCACTTTGACATGACAACTTTCCCAACTGCCGTGTTTTATCTGTGCGTGTGAATGCGCCCTACCAATGATTGCATGTAAATAGTCCGGGAAGTCAGCGACAGTTCGACACCCTGTATTGGGGTGGGGGTTCTGCTGCTGCTGGACATCCTCTATTGATAGCTTAGCCCAGAGTTACTAGCAGGGCACAGAGCTGCCACTTCGGTTGGAAGAAACCTGAAGGGGTCGACCTCTGGCTAGGGTAGGGGGGGGGGGGGGGGTGATGGGGCGCTTTTAGAAGCCGAAAATTTTTTTAAAAGAACTCCAAGGGCTCAAAGCAACAGATTAGGGCACTTTCGTGAACAATGCAAGTGAGATGGTGAAGCAGTCTTTTGGTCGGATTGTCGGAACGACCTGGAAAGATTGGAGCGTTTCTGAAAAATCGGACCGAGTGGCAACCCTGTACTAGTAGTACCAGCATGAGTACCTGGTAACTCAGTCATTCATTCATTTAGAATTCATTTGCCAATATTCCATGCCTAACTGGGCCATTATAGGGAGAATCCAATATACCACACCATCACATTGCGTTCTTGGCCGATCCAAACTCTGCACTCACATCACCATCACCACAGCAAGGACAATTCCGGTGTATGGATTGATATTGACAATGACCCTCCAGACAGCTGTTTCGCTACGTCTTCTTCTCAAATTATAGGGAGAGTTTCATAAAAGGGTTGTGGGGGTGGGGTGGGGGTAGTAACACACACAAAAAGTACTAGTCAGCACCACACACACATGGGAATTGCTTTGGTCCATGCTATTTTGCTTGGTGTTCCTTTGTCTTGTTGCATCCGTAGGACGCTGGAATGTTCACCTGCGTGTGTCCTCCGTCCATGACCGGGCCGTTCTGTAACATCACCAACGACGCCTGCCTGTCGGGACCGTGCACCCAGGGCGCAACGTGTGTGGCTGGAATGAACGACACGTTTGAGTGTGAATGCCCGCTGGGCTTCATGGGCCTGACCTGCTCTATACGTAAGCACACCTGTACCTAATAGCCAGACAAGAGTGCAGCGTGTCCACAGCCACACAAGAGTATACTTTTCACAGCCAGACAAGAGTATATTTTTCACAGCCAGACAAGAATATAATTTTCACAGCCATACGAGAGTGTAATATTCACAGCCTGTCGAGAGTACAATTTTCACAGCCAGACAAGAATATAATTTCACAGCCAGACAATAGTACTGTATATCACCTTATTTTCGGTGTTGTAAAATTTCGGTAAAAGCCAACCCCTGACCTTTCGGTGTAAGGATAAATTCGGTATGCATGGCACCAAAAAAAAAAAAAAAAAAAAAAAAAAAAAAAAACGCTCTTGCACTAATATCTCCCCCAAGGCCAAAAGGCTCCACATATGCATACATGTTATGTATGTACAATGTACTACCGGTATACCAGTATACAAGTAAGTTACAACTACACACGTAGTTGATTTTTTTAATTTGACAGTGATTTTCATGATTTTTACATATTTTGGTATTTCGGAAAATTTAGGTGTAATGTTAACCCTTTATGTACTGAAAAAATTGTACACAGACTGAATTTGATCTCGACTCACCTCAAATTCTATAATTATCTGGTTCATAACTTTAGTCTCCTTTTGACGATTTTTCAATCTTGGGCTTCCTGGAAAGCTCGTCGCAAGAGGAACACATTGAGCCCACGCTTGCCACCACGAAGGTCAAAACGCCAGCGCTACAGCCCAGCGTCTTAGCTGCAACGCCAATATTCCGACAGAAGTCGTCTTGCATCAGCCATTTCGCTCTCCTTGCTCGTAACAACTAACTGTTACTTCAAAAAAATTCACAAACTTCCATGAGTCCGTTTACCATTTTGAACGTGTTTCTACGTCACTGCATGCTCAGAATGGAAATCCCTCATTCAAATTTGCGCGAGCGGCTATTGAGCGACATTTGCCGCGATTCGACTTTCGAGCTTCGTACCTCTGGAACCACACATCGGAGCGCTTCCGCGATAGTTTCAATGGACAGCTGGGAGTTTTCTCTTTGACCTACATATTTTAGTTTTCGGATATAACCCAGGAACGACTGAGGTACGATCGATTGAAATTTTGAAAAGTTTCGATCCCAGGGGATCGAAAGTTGTACAGTCCGTACACAAAGGGTTAAATTAGGTGATCCAGGACCAGTGCCAAAGTTACCGAAATTTAAATTACACCGAAATAAAGGTGTTATACAGTATATTTTTCACAGCCAGACAAGAGTGTAACGTGTAAACAGGCAAATAAGAGTGTAAACGTGTCTATCGTTTATCCCACTCGTTACTTGGTTTTAGATGTTGTAGCTCGGCTTCATAAATTGGAGCTTCTTGTCGACCGTGGACATGAGCAGTTCCACATCATTGTTGGCCTAACACTCATGCACACACATACACATGCACGTATAAAAATGCATGCGCAAATGCACACATACACACACACACACACACACACACACACACACACACACACACACACACCATGTACCATGTATACGCCCGTCGCAAGAAAAGCACGCAAATCTGCAAATGCACTGGATGTGCACCCACAGATTTTCTCTTATAGCAACGATGGCGAACAAGATCTGAATGAGACAGATCAAGACTTGCGCCAGATAACTGTCTAATTCACACAACTGGCGAAGCCATGTGAATCGACCACCAATGCACACCTGGTCTACACCACACGGAGTACATCGGCATAAAACGGCCAAGACAGTTACCTATGCACACCCTACACTTGCTGGGGTAACCAGTATAGACAGCACGCTGCTTTGATAGAAGCAGACACTAGATGCACTGGTACTTTGAAGTGAAATTGCACACACACACACACACACACACACACACACACACACACACACACACACACACACACACACACACACACACACACACACACACACACACACACACCACACACACACACCACACACACCACACACACACACACACACACACACACACACACACACACACACACACACACACACACACACTTGTACGCACGCATGCGCGCAGACACACACATACACGCAGACACACACACACACACACACACACACACACACACACACACACACACACACACACACACACACATACACGCAGACACACATACACACAAAAAGACACACACATACAAACACACGCACATTCCAATGCACGCATGTGCGCATGAATGGCGTGCTCGATATGTATGAAACATGAAGATGAATATGCCGAGGTGTAGCAGTATGCGACAGGAAAAGAGCATGCCACTTTTCTACCAAATTGGTGTACACCATTCTTTTTCTTGTGTGATTTCTTGTGCTTTTAGCTATCACATTGACCTACCCTGAGTTCGCTCGGAGTAATTTCGGATTCAATTCTTATCTGCGCTTGGACGTGCTGCCAGACCCATTGCGTAACATCTTTAGAAACGATATCAGAGTAAGTTAGCCAAGCACATGCACGTACACATACCACCCTGCACACACACACACACACACACACACGGACACGCACACACACACACACACACACACACACACACACACACACACACACACACACACGCGCGCACACACACACCTCAGACCTCAGACATGCCCATCGCGGAAGCAGTGATAGCGAACAGCTATGATAGACATACCGGTAGCAACTTGTGCTGGGATTACACCATTCAACAGCTTGCAAGGCTGATGAATTGACCGCCACTAATTTTTAGCCTGGTACCCACCACACAGCTGTCCACACACGGACACACACACACACACACACACACACACACTCAATTTCAACATAGTTGTATGTGTGTGCACATGTGTGTTCACGTGCATGTCTGTTTGCGCCGACGCAGATCGTGTTCCGTGCCACCGAGCCCGATGGCGTGCTTCTCATCCAGGAGAATGAGCAGGACCCGCTTGGCGACTTTGTCTCACTCAGCCTTGTCAACTGGCAGGTCAACTTCAGAGTAGCACTCGGTGGTGGATCAACGCTCAATATTTTGAGTACGAACCAAGTGCTGCCTGGTAACTGGACAACCGTTGTTGCCACGAGGAATATTCGTGATGGTGAGTAGTTTGTGTGCGTTAGTGCTCAACTCACCAGATGTGAGGCGGACGTGTGTATAGCATTGAGAACATGGGATTCTGGTGTGTCTGTGTTCTCTTGGCCCGGGCCGTGTGTGTGTGTGTGTGTGTGTGTGTGTGTGTGTGTGTGTGTGTGTGTGTGTGTGTGCTCCCGTCGAGCGCCCTGATGGATAGCACAAATCCGAGTCTGCCCCTTTGGGGGTCACATAGCCGGACACGGCAGTGGTACAAGGAAGGAAGGAAGGAAGGTGTGTGTGTGTATGTATGTGTGTATGCGTGTGTGTGTGTGTGTGTGTGTATGACTAAACCGTGTCACTGCACTGCGGTTGTTTTCTTCAGGCTCGATCGAGTTCAATGGCGTCACGACATCTGGCACTACCCTTGGGATCAGCGGGGCAGTAAACAGCTTGGTACCGGCCGTCTACATCGGTGGACATCCGACTATTGTGGGGCGGCCGGCACGAGTTGGCTCAACCCGCGGTCTGGTTGGCTGTGTCCGTTTCCTCTTCTTTGATCGAACGGTAAGGCCAGGCAGTGCAGGGGCGTGCACGGGAGCCGAGGGGAGCCCCCCCCCGGCAATTTTCTGCAATTTGTTTGCAACCTTTCTTGAATTTTAGAGCATATTTGCATACATTACAAATGCAATTACCCAGATTGAAATGTTTGGGGGGTGCACGTGCCCCCGTGCCCATCGCCGAGCACGCGCCTGCAGTGGAGCAGCATGAACGTGCTCAAGGGCTTGTTATGAGGAGCCTATGGTTGAAGTTTGTCTAGCAATGAGAGTTATTATCCAGCCGCTAGGTTTGACCAATTTTGATTCCCAAGCAGGCGTTTTGTCCGATCTGTTCATAGCTTTGGTCCCTGCATAGAATTTCAAAATCGTGGGCTTCGTGGAGAGCTCTCGGCATGTATTGTTATATGCACGTAACCAAGGTTATTGCTATATGCACGTAACCAAGGTTTCCAGATTTGTCTATTAACACCTTTTTAAATTGTTTTGACTTACAGAGATATGAATTGAGCTCGATCATCAACAGCACCGGTGCCAATGTGCTGGAATGCAATGCAGAGTTCTGCGATCCAGTGTGCCTCAACAACGGAACGTGTGTGGATCTCGACGACGATGGAACATTCGAATGCCAGTGCCTACCCAATTTCTTTGGCACACAGTGCGAAACGTTCTCGCAGAATCCTTGTCTGGAGGTAAGCTAAGCAGAGGCCATGTTGGTGGGGTGCATCTGTCATATTTAGACCAGCTAATACCAGGATGGTGATGGTCCCACGTATGCCTTGTACGGGGTGTTAAATGCTGCAATTCGAATCGTGGAGTATCGCAATGTATGTAACGGTGCTGTGTAGTTTTACCGTGAACATTGAAGTTCAACAGCAATGGAGCCTGTCGGAAAACATAGCCGCATGTTACCTCCTATGAACAGACAACAGTACTGTTAAGTAGGAGTTGACGTGATTGATGATAAAACATGCATTGAATGATAAAACACAATGGTTGCCTCTTTGCTTTGTCATATCACAACCATTCAACGCGGTGAACCCCTCGATAGGCGATTTGCCTTTGGGTCATCCTAATAAAGTAGTTATTATAACAAACACTGGTTTGCACTGTGCACACTTGTCAGTTCCTTTCAGTTGGCAGCAGTTGTATGCAGACTGTCCCCAGCATCATACACTGAGTATGCGATGCTCTGGAATGTTGCAAGTCGGTTTTGCCACAAAGCAGACAGCTTGGCTCTTTGGCCTGCTATCAAGCAGAAGAACTGGTTTCAGTGGTACATGTACAGGTTTCAGTGGTACATGTACATTATTGTATGTTCTAGTCATGACAATGGACATTTATATAAGTCAGAACTCCACCTAGCAGAAGGGGGACCTTTTAAGAATAGCCATAACTGCTGTGTAGCATGATTCAGTGGCTGCCTGAATACTGATATCCTCACGTGTGCCTGTTTGCTATCCTGCTTTGCCGTAGACCACTGCCAACGCGAGCCGCCTGTTCTGCAACGTGCAAAGCCAATGCTGTCTGGACCCAGTGTCCGTCATGCCATCCTGCGTGTGTCCACCAACTGCCAGCGGACCATTCTGTGCCATGGGTAAGACAATGCTGTCACCTGTATCTGTCACCTGTATCTGTACCAGTTTCAATGGGCGCTCTATCGGCATTCAGACAAGCAGCCTGCATGTTATTTGTATTTACTTATTTAAAGGATACCCGAAAGGCTAGAGCCTATCGAGGGGGTTTCCACAGTAAAAATAAAATAATAATTTGATAGCAGTTATGCCCTGAGTGGAGAAGAAATACAGTAAGAGTCAAGTTATACCGTTACAAAGAAACTGATACTTATCGGATGTACAACGATAGAGCTGCATGGGAAACAGGAGGTACATGCCGCTGCCATTCCAGAAATCGCTGGCTCCGATATGACGGAAAAACATGCAGACATCTGCAACAAGAACCAGTAGTGTACAAAGCAGAACCTAAGATACCATTTATAGAGTTGATGATATGCACTCACTTCCAATGCGTGCTTTTAAGGTAATACGTATATCAGTGTTATTGTTAGATACCTCATGCCACCATCGGTACTGTGTGTGCTCGTCCTCCGTGTTCACAGCGAATCCCTTCACCATACCTAGCTTCGGAGGCAACAGCTTCCTTGCTGTCCAAACACCAGGGTAAGTGCAAAGCCAGCTCAGCCTGAATCATGTGTGCGATTTTCATGCTACATGGTTTGAGTACTTGAAAAATGGGTTTGGGGTGATAGCACATTCTGATCACAGTCTTGACTTTTGAGAGTGCGAACTATGCTGAAGGGGAAACAGTGCTGAAGGGGGAACAATGCTGAAGGGGGAACGATGCTGAAGGGGGAACAAGGCTGAAGGGGGAACAATGCTGAACAATGAGCTATTGCACAGAGACACACTTCTCATGCATCCAACCATTTTGAAACACACTGTAGACAGAGTGCCTCGGTAGTAGTGCTATTTTTTTAGACGTCTTCAGGCTGCTGGACTTGTTATTGATCTGTAAATGGAAGGAGTGGATGGACACATCCATTCCAAAAACTCTGAAAATCTCAGCTAGTTTCAGTAAACAGTGTCTCGGCAACTTGGCCATCATCTTCATGTTGATGAACAAGCCCATGATACCATAAACATCCCACACAGCCACCTGGGCATGATGGCGTCTGGATCTTGAACAGTGCATTGTTGATCCCAGTGGACTCACATGCTGGCATACCTTCCATAATTGGCAATGCGCAATCGGCTTATTCGGATTATCGATCCGTTGACTGGAAGCGTTCAATGTCCTTGTAGATGTGCTAGATTAGTAACACACGAGTCACAGAGTAGCACGCGTCTGGATTGCTGTTACTAATAGCTTCATGCCAGATCGGGCAATCTTCAGACAACTGATAACAGTGATGCACAGCTAGTATGGTATTTATACAGTGGCATAGGAGGGAATCCGTGACGGTTTGAGGTCTGGTGGACGTGAAAAGTCCTGGAGGGAAAATGTGCCAAACTCCCATAGTCAGTGAGTGAGAAAAGAGAAGAAAATATATGATATGACGGCAGGAAGGCAAGCAAGGCTGTGTGAAAGAATGATAATGTGGCTTGCCTGCAATCACAATCATGCAGGTGTCATGACCCAGACTCGACTCGTCGTGAAAGCGACCACGCAATGAGATTCAGCAGCCAAAAGCTGGGCTCCGAAATATTCTAGAGTTCTGTAAGAACCATGATTAGTCCCGCGAAGGATTTGGCACTTTCGTTAGTTGAGCAATCATGGCTTACAACTCGTGGCCTCGAGTCACAAGTGTTGTCGTACGGCGGCTACACCTTCAGTACAAGTCGTCAGCATTGTACTCACTACACTGTTGAGCTTGAGGGGACCCTGCTTAGTCCTGCAAGGGAGCTGATACCTTTGTTAGTCGAGCAAGCATGGCACCTCTTCTCGCGTCGTACGACGTAAAGGGTCCTGCAAGTGCTTCGCGCACTGCGGACTCCGTTATCCCTTTTTGGGAGAGGTCACGGCTTGACCGTGAAGCACCCTACGGGGTAATGAGAGGGAAGAGCCTACGGGCAGGAGATGAAGGGTGACCAACGACCAAGGCAGCGTACGGAGGCGGCGTGCTCTAGCTGCAGCAACTTCCGACAGCATACTCCAGGCCCCGTCGCACGAAGAGCCTCGGAGTCCTTTCATGTAATGTGGGTGAGCGAGCTCCCCGTATTGATTGATCATTCTTTGTACTATATTCTAGTTTGGCTGATTGCACATATTGCACCACTGTTTGTAATATAGAAATAATCCTTACGCATTCTTGCCACTGTATACTTTTGATCACATAATGTAGCATATATAAGGAGCTGTTTTGCTAACATTCATCCTCGATCCTCGGGGAGCTCACTACTCCTCTCGATTCTGAGAGAGTCACTCCGACTCTCTCCTGCTTTGGTCTTTTGACTCTACACACTTGATCTTTCGATCTAGTACTGCAATGGTTCAAATAAACACTGTTCAAGTGGAATTAGAAACCTGTCGTTCTATGTGAGCTAGCAACTTGGATGGCGACTATATTGGTCGTCTACCTGGGTAGCCACTAGACTGATCTAAGCCAAGTCACAAACCCGCCAAGCGCGGCCATGACACAGGTGCAACATGCCGCACACTTTGGTAAGCGCTTCAAATAAGTTGGAGGAGGTGTGTTACTGCTCTGCTTCTGCATCGAGCACTCTATCGAACCGGAGGACTGCGCTCTCTGTTCGAGATTACATAATGATCATAAGTTTAAACAAGCCGGCAATCCTATGGCCCTTGCTCGACCATCATCACATGTCCATGTGTATATCTTTCTGCAGTGTTCCAGTGGATCAGGATATCATACAACTCAACTTCACCACCCGGGTGAATAACTCTCTGGTGCTGCATCGCTTATTGGGTTTGGGAGGGGATTTCCTGCTGCTCGGTATCACTGAAGAAGGCCTCCTGGAATTTGTGTAAGGCATCATAATACGGATCATATAGCCATGTACATGGCAACACCCTCCCCACAAGTATACACTATATTGTCTGTCTGTCTGTCTGTCTGTCTATCTATCTATCTGTCTGTCTGGCTGTCTGTCTCTCTGTCTGTCTCTCTGTCTGTCTATCTGTCCGCCTGCGTGTCTTCCTGCCCTCCCGCCCGTCCACCCGCCCGCAGGCTGGCATGTCTGTGCTGTCCGTTGGGCACATCTTGTGTCCATCTAAATGCTATACAGTCTACACGCTAGAAGAGTTTGGTACCTGCTGACACCACAATCCAATGCAGTAGAACTAACAGTGTTACCAAGTGCCCTCTACCCCCATGCGTACTGCCCAGTGCCATTTTGCAGAATTTTTCAGGGTTTTCCGTACTCGTTTTTCAGGTCAACAATTTCACTGATTTAGTGTAATTTGGAAGAAAAAAACGATACTGTACAACTTTTCCAGCCACAGAGTTCACTTGCGAAGCCTACGAATTCAGTACAATTTTCAACTTCACCAGGTCATAACTTTGGTCTATATTTCTGGAATCCAATATCGTAACGCTTTCGTGAGTGTTGCATTGGACAGCTTGGAGTTTTGGCTGCCACGTAGATTGTTGAATTGGCACAAGAGACGATGGAGTTACGAAGGTTTTAGCAATTGATCATATACATGATCGTTTGCGGGATATCCGATTGAAATCCGTACTGCGGACCAAACTTCTTTTTTCCGTAAAAATACGGACAAATACGGGCGATTGGCAACACTGAACTAAGGAACATCCAACTCCATGCATCACACAGTGGTGATGTGAAGATGAAGAGAGCACCGTGATCCGTGCAGTTGGGAGCATTGAGGAAGAAGATGCACTTGCCTTCCTCGGCACTACAGCATGCGCTTACACTAATGTGTCCTTCTGGCAGTGGTGTGGCATTGCTGCCATCATGTGTCGCGTTGGGATGCCTTTTCTTAGGATAATACTGCGTGCGTTCAATTTGTTCACAATACTGTGTGTGGTTGATCTGGCTGACAACACGGTCTGTGCTTGATTTGTTGCAGATGGGAACTTGGAGGTGGAGTTGGTACAGTCATGTCTAGTGCTCCTGTCGTTGATGGACGCTGGCATTTCGTCTCCATCAACAGGTGGGTGTTAAACAAATAGACAGTTTCCCTGCACCTACATGTAAATATAGACAATTTCTTTCTTGTTTCTCTGCAACAATGAATTTCATGCTAGAATTGTTCCAGTCGGGATACCGGTAGGGCGCCATATGTCCCATGCCGAATGTTGAAAAGGATCCGACTTCTTTGGGACACTGGAGAGCCGAAATACTGAAATTTCCCCATCTACTCCCATACATACAAAGTCTATCTCTCTGACGTCTTAAATCCGGCCTGGTCTGGGCAAGTTAATGACGTCATCATGATGTCACGAAATTTAGTGCAAACTTCAAGTTGCGAAGTTTTCATTTTAGGGTGAACTTCGGGGGAAGTTCCCCTTTCTTATTTACACAGGTATTCTC